CCAGCTATTTTTTGGTTGCAGCCATCATTGTTGTTTGGCGGGCCCAGGCTGGGGATTCGAACCCGCCACCTTAGGTGTATGTGGCTGGCGCCTTAGCTGGTTGAGCCACAGACGCCGAGCCGAGACATTTACTTTCTAGGACACATTTTCTGTCATGTTGGACTTTTTTGATAATTATTGCCTTTAATATACATATAGTTTACTTAGTTGTAAGTTTGTATAATTTAATTTTTAATAGTATCCATGGCTTTCTTTTTCTTTTTTTTTTTTGAGACAGAGTCTCACTTTGTCACCCTTAGTAGAGTGCCATGGCGTCCTGGGACACAAGAAGGGTACACAAGACTCCCAAATGTTGATCCACCTGGACTGAAATTACCTTAAAAAACTAAACAAAAAATAGTAAAGCAATCCATAATGCACAATAATTTATTGAACAGGCCCCTGTGATAGCCATTTAGGTGGTTTCTAGGTACTGGGTTTTTGTTATAGGTACCCAGCACATCAAGATTTCTAAAATGCAATTTAACCACATATTTGCCTCAGCCTTCCCTTCAAAGAAAGTAAATTAAAGGGGAAAACTACCTCTAATAAGAATAATATCATTATTATTATTAGTTATAATACAATAATGTCATAAGAAGGAATTTCGTTATATTATCCTTTATTAATGTGGACACTGTTAGCATGTTGGTGGATTGCTTTACTATTTTTTGTTTAGCTTTTTGAGGTAATTTCAGTCCAGGTGGATCAACATTTGGGGGTCTTGTGTACCCTTCTTGTGTCCCAGGAGGCTTCCATATTGTTGTATGAACCCCTTAACCATACTATTGCAGTTCTGGAATATTCTATCCTTTAAACGTGTGCCACTACTTGTTTGGTGAATCCCTTATTGTTGACCAGCTAGGTGTTTTCCCCTTTTGTTCTAGTTATAAATACCTCCATGCACATTTTTAGTGCATGCTCCTTTTCCTGTAGTTTGGATTATTTCATTTGGATAGAGGCCCAGAAGCTGAGTTGCTGGGGCTCATGGCCCATGTAGGTGGCTGGGGTTGAAGAGTGTTTCCTAAGTGTGGATGATCTTTTACTGGTGGATGGACAGAGATGGGACAAGGAGCTCCCCGTGTAGCTGGCCACCCATGTGGGGGTCTGGGACTCACTGGGGAGGGAGCTAGTGACAGAGGAGAAAGACCACAGACATCCATCTCTTAGAGGCTGCATCCCTGTTTTCCAAGAGGAACAGAGGTTGGAGGCAGGAGAGGGTGTGTCCCTGGGGACACTGGGGACATGACCATTAGGATTCTCCCTCACCTCAGATAGATGGTGGCCCTAAGACCCAGAGAGACAGAGGAACTTACTCATGGTCACAGATGGATCCATGCGGGGCCCTCTGAAGACAGGTCTGTCTACTTGGTCCAGGGTCTGAGGGGGGATCTAGGCAAGAGGGAGGCAGCTGCCCATCCAGTCCTCAGTGTGTTGGACACATGCCAGCTCTTTGCCTCTCTACTCAGTTTATAGATGAGGAGATTGAGGCTTGGGACAAGTGACAGGTCCTGATTTTAACCCCAGGCAGTCTGTTCTCAAATTCAGCTTATTATCCCCTACTTCCCAGTTCTAGCTCAGGCTTTGGGGCATCAGCCTTGGAGGCTAAAGGGGACCCTTATCCATGGCTGGGATGGCTTCAGTACCCAGGGTGGGATTGGGGTGAGTAGATGAATGAAACAGCTGACACTTAGGGCTGACCAGATGCCTGGCCCTGCTCTAGGGCATGCTATGTGTACTGTTGGTCTTAACCCTCACCAAATCCATGTGAGGAAGATGCTCCTGTTACCCCATTTCATAGATGAAGAGAGTGGGGCACAGGCAGGTGAGGGAATTTGCCCAGTGTAACACTGACAGGAGTGAGCTGATGAGGCTTAAACCGTGGATTAACCACTACAAAACCACTGTGGTGGCTGGGCTGGGCAGTCTGTAAGGCTGTAAGAGGCCCTGGAAGCAGTGAAGGGCAGCTGGGAGGCCAGCTGGAGAAGAGGGTGCAGACTT